AAAATATCCGTTCATGATTCTAACTGGGAAAGGAATATTCTGGGGTATAGTCTCCAATTTTAGTTTTGTTCTATTATTACCTCAATGTATTATACAGCGTTACATGTCACAATGGTAACAAATATAGAAGATAATGTACTATATTGAGCATATAATGGCAAAAATGAGGTTACTATTGTGGTAGCGATTGAGCTAGACTATATATCACTTGTGGAAATCTATATATAACACCACCCCCATCACAGTGGGTTCACTGTGCACATAGTGCACATAATCTAATAATGGTGTTTTATGTGTCTTTTGTTGAAGAAAGAAAGTCTCATGTGAGGTGGAAATGGGCGCTGGAGGAGGATTGCTATATTTAGGATAGCCGGAGGAAATATGCGGTTGTCCCCTAGACAGAGGAGGATGCATGCAGAGCTCAGCTAGGAGAGAGGGAGAGAGAGGGAGAGAGAGGGAGGCACACCCTCGAGATGACAGTCATCATATATACACAAAGAGAGAATGGGTGGCTCAGCCATCTATCTATCTATCCCTCAGCCCCCCCCTCCCACCCTACTTTTATTCACATTCTATTTACAAACAGTTCTTTTCTTCTATAGTTATCTTAATTTGAGATTAACAGACAAATATGATTGTAAAGGTGAAACCTCTTGTCCACCTATGAAATGTTCTGAGGACTTTATTTGTATCAGCATATGATGTAGGTATAAGTATGCTTTTGCTTTTGAGGTAACTCCATTTATTTTTAATCCCATATGTCCTTTGGGCTTCATAGAGTGACTATGTTGGTAACAGGCTTACAGCAGACTAGACTACCCCCATATGCCCCTATTTAGTTGTAGGGTCAAATGAAGGGGCTCCCCTCCAAGGGGAAGCCCCCTTCATCTTTGGGCCCCTTAATCCCTCTATGGCTGTTACCTATCAGTGAATCACTTGTTTTTATGAGGAGTATCATTCACAGGTCACTCCAGGGCTCCCCTGTCCTATATTCTCAAATTTAAATCTGACGATTTACTCATAAACTTCACCATGTCTAGATGTCATTTATTTGTAACTTCATAAAAAAATCAGCACAGGTTGCGATCAATTTCATGTTGAGACTTTAAATCTTATTTATCAATTTACTATGGGAGATACAAAAATTCTTGGGAAGTCTTGATGACACATTCTACTAGACTTATTTGATTTACTTCTAAAACTTGGAAAAATGGAAGTGTAGATTGATGACAAATGGGAGAAATGTGTAAAAGTAGATACATATATGAAGAAATGAATAGCAACAGGTGAATCATATACTTTGAGATGGAAAGATGAATACATAAAGAAAGTAGAGTCAGAAGGAAATAGATTATTAAGCATTCAGTGACAGCCAGAAAGACAAAGAAAAAACAGAAAAGATAGAAAGAAATTAAGAGAGAAACACATGACAGAAGACAGACAATAGAGGAAGAGGAAGAAAGAGAGAGAGAGAGAGAGAGAGAGAGAGACGGACAGAAGACAGACAATAGGTAGCGGGAGATGGAGGGAGGGAGGGGGGAGAGAGAGAGAGAGAGAGAGAGAAAGAGAGATAAACAAATACAATAAAGAATGAAATAAGGAAAGAAATAATGAAAGAAACAAACAAAATATGATGGAAGAAAGGAAAGAAAAAGAAAGGCAGAAAAAGGAAGGGAGGGGTATTTAAAGATAATAGATGGGTGGAGGATGAAATAAGTACTAAACCCACTAGTCACAGATCATTATATTACCAAGTTCAAACTATTTCCTTGGCAGTGCAATGGCACAGTCATCTATGCTATTTTGCATCGCATCACAAACAGGTTAAATAAATACTGTGAAAGGATGGATCATATCTGCACATCCTTACTTGGGAAGAAATCGAAAAAAGAGTGATTCATTGCCAAAACCACCCTGAGGTATCGGAAAAAGGGTCTTCCCATTCCCTGGTCCCATAATGATTGGATCTCCTGTAATCTGAGCTATACACAGAATTGTGATTTCAAGCCTCAATCTTCATCAACTTGTACACCTGAAGAGGGGATTGAGTAAGGGAGAGAAAGGAAGGTATAGTGGCTAAGGGTAAGAAAGAGAATAGTAATTTGAACTTAATAATAGACTATACACAGGAGAAAGAAATAATGAGTATGGGGAGAAGGTGGAAATGTATTTTCAGACAGAGGAAACTAGCTATGCACCAGATGAGGAATGAATTTAGATGAAGAAGTATGTCTTATATAACAAGAATGATACAAATATTGGAACCAGCATTTTGGAAAATGCCCCTAGTCTAAATTAAAAGTCTAGGCTAGCCTCAAAGATACTTTCAGCAGTTTGCACATGATATTCCTCTCAATCCGGGTTAAATCCTGTCTAATTTTGAAGTGCTTTAAACTCCTCACAGCCCTGATCTTGTTATAAACGCATTCAGACAATGTGTGCACCTTCTCCACTCCCTGTGGAGTGTATGGTCATCATGATGGCATATGGTGCAATAAAGACAGCTGAGAGGTGAGGAGACAATAGTTAGGTCCACATGACAGTCAGTTAACTTTACCTTTAGGTCGGGTTTTAAACTTTGAAGTCATCTTGTATAGGGACCGCTCAGATTTACTTGTGGTTACAAAACTTAAATTTAGTTCCAAGTTACAAACTATGAGTGATCTTAAAGGTAATACAAAGTTTTGGTATGGGGTCATGAATTTGCTTCAAATGAATATATTGGAAGCATATCCTACAATATTCAGTGATCGTTGTCGAGGTTGAAATTGAGTTTTAAGTTATGGAACTGTAAATAATAAACTCTTTATGTTGTATAGCTCCCTTTTAAGGTCAACATATTAATTTAGCCATAAAACAATGTTTTTTGACTAAAATCAACCGATTGGCTATTTCCGTTTGGAAATTTTATACCACATCTACGTATTCTGAGATTTTCATGGTACAACAACAGTATGGCTGTAAGCGCTATTTGAAATTTATCAAAATATACCGGGAGCACCGGTAAATTTTGATATTCAATTTTACTCGAAAGCGGAAGTGTTTTAGGGGCTGAATTTTCTAGTGCTTATAATACATCCACAGGGGCATCCAAATATATCAGAATTGTAAAGAATTACTATCCAACCAATTTTCTAAATTTACCAAAACTTTGTATTACCTTTAAGGTTAGCGCGATAACTACTACAGCAAGGGATGATCACTTGATGTTATGTGCAATTTGGATGCAATTAACTTTGAAGTTTTGCTAGCTTGTTGTTAAAGTGAATACTTTCCCAGCTTGTAGTTTTGAAACCATGAATACTCCTTTCAGTTCCATGTGAACTTTCATCATATTTAGTCGATCGTTGTTCTATGTGGTCTTACAAACTTAAAGTTTAAAACTGCAACACACGTCCTTGTGAACATACCTTATATATATATATATTATAAGTATACCTTACAACGTACCTGCTAGTCAAGCTTCTGTCCGTTTTTTATTTTTTTATTCTTCTATCGTACGAATCGATACCACATACAGCGAGGTGTCTCCAATCTTTGCCCGATCCCCTAAAGTAACGTTGAAGAGACCAGAATGAGGGGAATGGTTAGGTCTACTGTCAACGTTGAGGGTGTGTTATCTTATCAGCTGATTGGGCCCGCGACAAGGAAACGATACAGAGGCTGGACTACATACCTGCCTGGGTGATCCCGGTGTAAATCTAGGGCAGGTTAGCCACAGGCAAGGGAAGGGTGTACATCCCTTCTCACCCCTCCTTCTTTCTAAAGGCTCCTTAGGGAGCGCATCTAGAGATAACAATGCTATCCAATGGCCTTGAACTAGCTCTTCAACTGATCAATAGTGATAATCAGTTGAGAGAGATTACCCCCCATTCACAACTGTAAAATTTATGGTAGAACTATATGAAAAACACATATGTACAGTCACAGTGTAATAGTGATTGTCTTCTTCTTGCCTGAATGAAATTTTAAGAAACCTTGTACAGCGAAACATTTTAGTGCCAATTTCGAACCAAAAAAACTCAATAAAAGAAGGGTTCATCACTTTGGTGGACATTGTTTTAAAAAGAAAAAGAGAAGCAATTTGATAGGGCTTATAATAAGAGTGCGCTGATGATGACAGGCAAGCTGTAATTTTACACATGTGAGCAATGCTATGACATATCACACTGGCACTATATGGAGCATCTAATGATCAATATATGGACATGTTATTCCTTTCTACAATTTTAAAATCCTATGTATTTCGCCCCTTTATCTATTCAATGATTCTGTAAAACTGTTAAAATGAATTTCTTATAAATTGCTCCTAGCTTATGTGAATGCCATGCAAGGGGGCATCCTGAGAGGGGTAATGATTCACCGACCCTCTGGAGCCGTCACCCTCCTCTATCCTCCTTCCTTTAGGCTCTGGTCTGTGTTAAGCAAACATCAGGTGAGATGACAATGGTGAATGAATGGCCTTGACTTGCTCACCTTGTCATAGAGTCAACAAAGAGCGATGACGAGACATTTCAACATCTTCTACATGTATACCGCTAGGACTACAAACAATTCTTCAGAACAAACTTTCAAAATTTAAATTTTGGGTCTGAAATCTTTGTTTTGCTGTCAAATTTGGCTCTATATAGAGTGTAATTACACCACAAGTGATATGAAGACATAGACAATCATGAGAATCATATGTCATGATTTGGCAACAACTGGGTTTACATGGTGGAGGAAATGCGAGGAAGCAGATCGAGGGACAGGTTGGGCGAGGATCTTGGAGAAGACTGTCCATCTCTGTCACATTCTTTCTGTTTCCCTTGCTGTTTGGGGTATTCCATTGGTGGATGCACTCCCGACATGCGCCCTCATGCCAGTTCCTTCCTTCCCTGCCCTCTCCCCTCTCTGTAGGTTGCAACCCATTGTCATTTTCCTATACCTTTTTGAGAATGATTATCAAAGACACACGGCTACATAACTACAAGCGATAAACCTAATTCAGAGTCTCTTACTTGCTGGCAGGAGCATTAGCAGTAGGTACAACTAGATGACAGTGAAGTCACAGGTGTTCCACGACAGGTCTCTTCCCCCTTTGGTGCCTTTTCATCTGTCCTCTCTCTGCTAACAGGAGTCCTACTAATGGTGCAACCTTGAACACTCTATGAGTATGATGACCTAAATTAAATAGAAATTAAGAGACAATCTTTGGCTAGGTTCGCAATGCATCGTTGTACTTTAAACTCTAAGCTCATGAAACCTCAAGCAATTGTTAACTATAAGGTGGCAAAACCTCAAAATTGGTTGCGTCCTCACTGGCACAAACATTAGAGTAAGATAACTTGGTCATAGTTTTCATGCTAACCTTAGGATTGTTTACAGTATAAACTTCAAGTTTCTGAAACCATGAGTGAGTCCATACAATGCTAAACTACCTAGCCTAGGAGTTTAAAACCATGAGCTATATACTTAAACTGTCATAGCAACCTAGCTAGAGTCCGGCCATAAGGTTTCTGACAGGTTGAATGATAGACCTGCTGGAGTGGGACATAACCTGCTCATGACAAACTCTAGAGGGGGTTCCTAACCTTCAGAAGTCTGTTACTACATGTATCAAGATCATTTGTAAAAGAGGGAAAAAACAGGGGAAAATATCCATTCCAACCCAATGATAGTCTCAGACCAAGGAGTGCTAAGGCTTTAGAATTACTGACTTTTTGAAACAGTGCAAGGAGTTATTGATCGATGAGATATTAAAGTGGCAGGAATTGAAAGTGCACAAACGGGAAACCGATCAGATATTCAACTCAAATCAACATATATGCTATTAAACTAAAGATAGAGTACCGGTAAAGGGATTGCGAACCAGGGCCTTGTTGCACAAAACTTACCATTGATGGTAACTTTGCCATCACATCAATGGTAACTACCATGGAAACCTTGATTTCATTGTCTGTAGAGTGGTGTTGCCATGGTAGCTAATATTAATTGCAAAATAACAATCAATGGTAAGTTTTATGTAACAGGGACTCAACAAGACCTATCAAAGAAACCTTCAGTTTTTATCCTTGACTCTTCGATCCTTGGTCTCTCCTGCATCACTTTCTTAGGCAGTATACATGTAATCCACAATCTATCTTGAATTATTATATGACCAAACCTAGCTATGCCAAAAATGTTTTTCTAGTCATTTTTTTTGTCCTGTTAGCATGACAGGAGTATTGCGAGAAAACAAGTATGGTATAATCTTGTATGTAAGGGACCAGCAGACCTACAGAAAGACTTTAACTTGAGGATTAGTGCCAAAAAGCACACCAACTTCATTTTAAACCTGGGATATCCCCATTACGAGACTAACTGCTCTCGCACTGAGCCATCCCACACCGTACGATCCCCCCTCAAATAAAAAGCTGCATATCGACTGTAAAGAATCATCTGAGGAGCCAAAAGAGTGTTTATCTTTCATATCCTCACTCTCAACATCTCTTTGCTTGTCACATGAAGAAGATCATTGACTAAAACAATATAATATCATCTTGCATACATGCAGGTAGACCTCATCAGATTTCAGCATGATGATTGGTGGGAGTCTGTCTATCAAGCGAGGGCTTGGCAACTCAGCGCAATAAAATACTAACTCTCATTCTAGTAAAATGAGTTATATTCATAAAAGCTATCCCTATCAACTACCCTACAACCTGCAAATGTGTCATGTAGTAAACAAAATTTCACATGTGAAAAACTTGCACCATCTTTATGACACAAAAACTGCTGTCATGAACATTGTGCACAAGTTTGACATTTCAGAAGTTCCTCGCTGTAAATAGTTTCAATGCTCAAATATTAAATAGTTCAAATTTGTCAATATACAATCCTCTAGTGCCATATGTAATGTGGTAATAACTTTTAACTGTTTCATCACAGAATTACCTATTGGTGAGTTAGTACTTTATTGCACCAACCCTTTTGAAGATGACAGGTGTAGAGAGTATCACTGTCAGAACGCTGTCATCCCAATCTTAATCCTTTCTCTCTGGGTATGTAACTTGAAGTCTATGCCATATAAGGTGAGGAGACAAGAGAACAGACAAGAGGTTTGAGAATATTCTTTAACCCTTTATATCTCTCACCCTAATCTTATTTTTCTTCTTCACCCTTCCACCTGTTATGCCCTACTCCACTGTCATCTAAAGCCTCCTACACTCCCAAACTTCTCTTCATTAACAACGTTTGCACTGAACTATTTTACTTTTTTAATTGTAGCCCTTCTCTTTATTCTTGTTTTTAACTTCTCCCTCATTAAAAAAACTATTCCTTCTTTCTTTCATTCACTATATCTTTTGTCTTTCCAGCAAATATTCCTCTCTCCCCAACCTCCTTCCCTTTCTCCCTTTTTCGAAACGTCACTTTTTCTTGAACATGAAGGCCTATAACAGGGTCTGCTTCTACTATGGACCCTACCACAAATCTAAAAGGATATTTTTGGACCTATAACATTCTGACCATTAATCAAAATTTTAAAAATAAAAATTTCCAAGAAACCATATGGTAGATAAAGGCGACATATGGGGTTATGGAAGAAAAGATGGATTAGAAGGTACAAAATGATAAACTCAACATGTAAATCATCTGTCAAGTTTGTGCAAGTAAATGAACTCAGACCTCCAACATTGTGTGAGTATCCTGAAGTCACCTTTACATTAGAAAATGCAGAGTGCACAAAAGGGTCTGATACAATGTCATCTCAGCATTTTGTGAAAAAAGTATGTAAGGAACTTTAAGGCCTCATTGTTTAATTTGTCCAATGTCAAATTTCCCCCTCCTTCTTCACTTCCTCTCTAATGTCCTTCTTCTTCTTTGCTTCATGCTAACATTCATCCTCCCATGCATAAGCAGAGGGGTATGTACTTCAGAACCTTCAAAATGTTTATATGTTTGGTAAGATGGTATGGTATGGTATGGTATATTTTATTTATTCACGGTTAAAAACAAAATTACAATTGTGCCCGCATTCAGCAAAAGCTGTTTTTCAGCGAGGCCGTGATTACATATAATTAGAACAGAATATAAAACAATGAAAATACAATTTACAAACAAATATGCAAGTTTTAATAAGTGAACATATTTACAGAAATTTAAGTACAAATTAGAATCATAGTGACAAAGTGAGGTGAGGTGAAGGCATCACCTGTAGTGCACAGGTACAATGGGCCCATGAACTTAGATCCAACGGTGTCCCAGGTAAAGGTAGGAAGACTGATCTCTTCAAACTATGAAACATGACAGAACTAGAGACAACATAGGCAAGAGAGAAGTGATTTAGGGTGCCATAGAGCATATCAAGTTTCTACCAGGGGAACTTAACCTTATTGTTGAGTTGCATGGCTTAGTTTTAGAGAAAATACAAGTTTGTGACGAGTCCTGAATCTGTCATGTTATCAGGGTCATGGAGTTTGATATCTAGGATTGAACCTTGAGAAGAGCCAAGGGAAAGAACTGTTCATGTACATGATGGAGGTGAGAAGGGTGAATTGATGAACAGACATGTAGATGCACAAGCTCATTGTCAAGTAGAAAGGAGGGAGGCAGACGGATTGATAGAGAGGAAGACCCACTACGTGTACATGATGTAGCTGAAAGAGGATGAATGAATAGACAAAATACCAGGTAGACGTAGATGGAGTAGACTATTACAGTCATGAGTAGGAAGAGTGAAAAATAGAGATATAGAGAAATAGTGATGATTAAAAAGAGAGAGAGATAGACAAACATACTGACTGAAATGACTGATACATAAATATAGGTGAGGATATATAATTAAGAAAATCAACAAACAAGAGAAAGAGGGACAGAGAGAAGGAGAGAGAGGGGGAGAGGTACAGAGAGAGAGAGAGAGAGAGAGAAAGAGAGAGAGAGAGAGAGAGAGGGGGGAGGGGGACAGAGAGAAGAGAGAGGGACAAAGAGAGAGGGGGAGACAGAGAGAGTGAGAATCAGAGAGAAAGAGAGAGAAAGAGAGAAAAGGAGAACATGAAAATTAAGATACACATAGATGGTCTGATGACAAGGAAAGAGAATAGAAAGACACAAAGACATCAGTCAACTGACTGAAAATACAAAGCTTTAATGCTCTTGTACAGAGAATGCCATTAAAGTTTCAGTAATGATTAAAAAGGGAGAGATAAATGTATAAACATACTGACTGAATGACTGATACATAAAGAAAGGTGAGGATATATCAAGCAAAGCAACAAACACTGGGAAAGAGACAGAGAGAAGAAGAGAGAGAGAGAGAGAGAGAGAGAGAGAGAGAAAGAGAACACGCAAATTAAGATACACACAGATGGTCTGATGATGAGGAAAGAGAATAGAAAGACACAAAGACATCAGTTAACTGATGGAAAATACAAAGCTTTAATTCACTTGTACAGAGAATGCCATAAAAGTTTCAGCAGTCCAGCCTTATTCACTCGCCTTCACTAGCTGAAAGGGAATTCCCCTGATTACATTTCAGGGAGTTCCCCTATTAGCTAACAATCCTTCAGCCTGTTATCTCATTGGCTTAATGGCTTAATGGAATCCAATTACAATATAACTGGACCTGATCAGCTGCTGAGTGTAAACAAGGTATGTCTGGATCAGGATGTTCCATTATATCATTGTCTGGACTGTCAATGGGCCTTGTTATCCATTATCACTGACCAGGCTTGGACAACAAAGGACAGTTAGCCTTTGACAATGACAGAATGAACAATTAGATACGGAGAATGACTGAAAGGAGCAGAGTAAAAATGAGCTGAGGAGATAAAGAGAGGCAGATTGTGGGATGACGATGATGCAAAAGTAAAGGACTGTGTGAATAGAAATTTTACATGAAATAGAAGAGAAAACAAATGAATAAGCCAACGAAAAAGAAAATGACAAGCAGGCAGTAATGGAAGAAGAACCAAGAGAAAAGAAAAACAAACAGGAAGAAAAAAAGTGCAGCAACAAAGTAATAAAGATCTAAATGAACATGGAAAGGTTGAAACATGAACAATAATATGGCCATTTGGAATAAAATCCAAAAGAGTTCTAGTATTTTTATCCTTAAACATAAAGATAGGAAACTTTCAAAACTTAAGAAGTTAAGAAATGTACTTTAATTCAGATAATGTGAGGCGATTGATTGATAAAGCTAT